CCTCACTCTCTCTTTAAAAAAAAAAGAAAGAAAGAAAGAAAGAAAATACACCAGCAATCTAAAGGTTGTTATATCAGGATGGAAGGATGTAAATAGTTTTGTTCTTGTAACCAATTCCTTGGGTATTTTTTTTTATTGTAGGGTAGACACATCATTTTAAAAAGATAATTTAAAAGATAAAAAAATTAATCTAAAGCTGGGCATGGTGGCACACTTGTAATCCCAACTGCTCAGGAGGCTAAGGCAGGAGGATCGTAGGTTCAAAGCCAGGCTCAGCAAAATCGAGGAACTAAGCAACTCAGTGAGACCTTGCTCTGAATAAAATACAAAAAAGAGATGGGGATATGGCTCAGTGGTGGAGTGCCCCTGAGTTCAGTCTCTAGTAACCCCCCCCCAATCTACAGATTTCAAAATATTTTAAAAGGATTATTGCTCTTGAAATACTCTTTATGTTCTTTAATAATTACCTATAGCACATGTATAATTTATATCACAGACTATATATAGAATTTTAATTCTTAAAAGCCCCTTCCCTTACAGGACAGCCCCTTTATTGTATAGATAGCCCTTCCTTAAACATTTTTCAGCTCTATTAATCTTTCCCAGATGGAGGGCTCTGGCTAGCCCTCCATCTGGGGCCACATCCTCAAGTCATAGAAATGTCAATTTTGTAACAAAGAAAAATAACATTTTTTTCAGTACTTCCTCACACATAGTCTCACCCCCCCAACTTTGTTCAAGGTAGACCCTATCTTTAGGTACTATCTCTAATGATCCCCAAACAGATGAAAGTCTTTACCTGAACTGTAACTGTTGACTCAGCAATATGTGCATAATTCCCTCTCTCCTTAGTTTATAAACACCATTGAAGTTTGTCACTTTAATATACAGTGACACTAAATATCAGAAAATAAAAGCTCCTGGTAAGAAGGAAATATCTTTCTTCTCCACTGCTGTATCCCCAACACCTAAAACAGTATCTGATGCATAGTAGATGCTCAATAAATGATACTAGTGAGCAAATGGTAAACTTTGCTTTCCATTTCTTTGGCTCAACAGATAAAAGAGCAATTAAAACAAATTTCCTAAAGGATATTATAGAGAAATTTCTGCCACTGGAAAAGTTTAAGCATATCTCTGGTTAAGAATCAAGTAAGAAATATTTCTGCATGGAAAAAACTGAACCAAATTAACTCTAAAGTTCAACTCTTAACTTCTATAACTTGATGAATAGCAAACCTTAAGAGGGAGTGGTTTGGTTACATAAACCCTGATTCCCAGGTAAAGTAATTGCCATGTGCTGTTTAAAATCAAGATAATTGCTGCCCTGGGATGCAGATGCAAAAATGCTAATTCATCCAAAATGTAGACACATCCCTAGGATGGAAATGTCCTTGCTAATTATCAGTTACAATCTGAAAACAGCACACATGTTTCAGGATTTTCTCAGGACCAAGCCCTAAAACCATCAGTGGTTAAACGAAGAATTTGGGGATGGAGATTTCAAATGGAACAAACAATATCACATTAAATTGAAGCTTTCATTTTTTGTAGTCAACAACAAATTCACTTAAGAAACATATGAATTTAAACCTTGAGGTTTTAATGGTTGTAACCGAATATAGCCATTTCATAAAACAGAAAATACTACATTTGACATATAAACATTTCTCCCCTTGAAAATGTATTTACCTTGATATCACACTAACAAGTCTAAAACTGAAGACCAATTATTCCAATTGAGTTTTTCTTTAATCTGGATGGGAGAGGCAGTTTGTAGGAAAAGGAGATAACTTGTGATTTTGCAAACAACTTTTTAAAAAACATAATTAATTCTAAAGGAGTAACTATGCAAATCCATTCCCATATAAATCAACTTTGAAGTGATCCTTTTCCCTCAAAAATGTTTCCGTTCTTTGATTCAAAACATAGAATAGATAAGGGGATTGGAAAGGCAGAGAATTCTAGCATTAAAGATGCAGTGCAGTTCGCTTGGAACTGGGTTTAGAGAATCTTCTGCATTCACTGAGTTGTTCTTAGACACAACTATAGAGACCCCACTTAAAAGAATAACTCAATGAAAAAAGGCAATCAGTTCAACAATTCCTTGGAAATGAAATCACACATTTTCTGTAATGTATTAAGAGACTTTTCAAACTTATAGTCAATTCCTGATTACTCATACAAGTCAGGGGGAAAAAAGTCTTCCATTTTTAAATTTTAAGTAATTTAATCTTAATTCCAGTGACAACAGGAAATGTGCAGAAAGCAGTAATTTCCTCTGTACACGTATATCTTTTTAAAATCTCCTCTATTATCTGAATGAGAGTTCTTACACAAGAATCCATGGGGCTCCAGCTCACATATGGTGGGCAGACCTGGTGTTGGATTTGATTAAGGCCACACAACTAAATCTTAAATCCACATATTGTTCCTATTTAACTGACATATATGAACTAACTAATTTATAGAAAAATGTGCAGCAAATTATTTCTTCTACTTCCCCCAGCCCTCAAGAATGCACCACCAATAGGTGTTACTGAAAAAGACACCCCCTACACAGAATATTTGCATTCCAAGACGCTTGCCAAAGCAGATATTGTTATTTTAGTTCTCTGAATCTGTGCCCTGATAATAAGAGTTGGGGGGGGGGGTGGATTACCCAGATAAACCTATGGACTTCAATTTCCTCACTAGAAAAATTACAGAGAAATACAGAGAAAAATACAGAGAAACTATGCAAACTCCCTCAGTGACAACTATGACCACTAATTAGCAAGGCCACAGTTTGTGTGCAAGAGGAAGCCAGAATTCTTAAGAATGTATCATTAAATAGTAGAGTTTAAAAGCCCTAAAAGACCCACAGTTGCGCTTTGGTTTGACCACTGCACATTCTCTGACCGTGAGAAAAAAATCTCTGAAAAAACCCTGGGCATTTTGATACACCTAGGTAGAACTCAAAGAGGGGAAACTCCTTGAACTTCCTCCTGGGCTGGGGGCTCGCGGTGCAAAAGGCAAGGGAGGAGGAGTACAGGGGAAGAGCCTTGAGTTTGAAGGCATGGCCTTGCATTTCTAGGTTTCTGAGCTCCCAATATCTCCCTGAGATTTTGTCTATGCCTATGAAATCTATCAAGTCACCACCTGCAGCTGCACAGTTGTGAGACGGGAAAGAGGAGAAAAGAAAGGAGGTAGGAAGATCAGGAAGGACCTCGCCCGAGGCACCCTCAAAACCCATGAGGCAAAAGTGGTCTTTGAAAAAAGGAAAAGAGAAAGAAAGAGGACTCCGCCTTTTCCATCCGGCTCGGCTCCTTTCAATAAAAAGGAAAGGCCGCTACCGCCTCTCCCTCCCGCTTTCACGCGGGGGATGTAAAGCAGCCACTGATCGCATCCTCCGAGTCCCACACCCCTCGGGCTGGGTCCCGAGTTACAAAGCGAGTTACAAACCACCTCTTGCATTCTAAGAGGCGCAGCCCGGGTCTGGACCTCTGACCCACAAACTCGGGGCAGGAGCATCCCCTCTCCCTCCCTCCGGCCAGTGGGGCACTCGATTCTCCGCGCACCCGCCTTCCCTTCCTCTTCCCAGGGTCTCCTCTTCCCAGGGTCTCCACCTCCGGCCTTCCAGCCGCAGAGCCTTTAAGTACTTCCACCCACCCCAACAAGGGAGCCTTTTGAAAACTTTGTGTGTACATCTAGGGCTTTGTCCACATCCTGGGCAGGGCCGGGTCACCAGGGTGGGTGCCTGAGGGTGTCCGGGATCTCACAATGCTTGGGAGAAGCCACCACGGAAATCCCACCCCTTTGACCCGCTTCTACAACCGTGTGACACAGCGCTTCGGTTCACAATTCCCATGCCCCGATCGCCCCTGGGCGCGGGGGAGCCGAGAGGAAACCCCCGGCGCCTTTCTCGACTGTCACGAGGGACTCGGTGTGCGCGGGGAGAGGGAGAGAAACGCCGCGGCCAAAAGAACCCTTTTAAAGGGAACGCCGAGAAGGTCCTTTTTCTTCCATATCTCTGGAATAGGGGCGCGACGAGGAGATACACTGTTGCATCAGGTAAGAGCTGAGCCTCAGGGCTCCGCAACCTCCCCACAGCCCCAGACGCGCGCCCAAATTCATGCACACACCCACAGCCAGAGCCGCCAAGGTCCACAGCCCCGGCCCGGCTCCCCGGTAGTCCCCACCCGCACCCGCCCCAAATCCGAGACCACCCGGCGCTGGAGGAGCAGCGCGCGAAGGAAACGAGGCCCCAGCACTCACAGACTGTCTCCCCACCGCCACGGCCATCGCGGCTGCGGCTGCGGCTCCGGCTCCGGTTGGGTGCTCTGGACCGACACTCAAGGCTGCAGCTAGCGCCTGGGCTCCGGCTCGCCTCCCCCGCGCCTCCCTCGCGGCTGCGCTCTGCTTGCACTCGGCTCCCGGTCGCAGCCAGCGGCATCTGCTCCCCCCACGCCGCCGCCCCTCCCGCTTTATTAGAGCAACATGGCCACCCGCCTGGAAGGGACCATTTGCTTCCCCAGGAAGGGGTGTGATCCTGCCTGCCCCCGCCGAGGCGGTGGGAGGGAGGGTGATGGGCGGGCTCCGAGTCCGGGTCTACGGGTTTTGGCCGCAGGGCTGGCCTTGCCTGAATTTAGTGGTGCGCCAGTGCGCGACCCTCTTGCTTGTCACTAAGCCACCCCTAGCCTGTGTCCTGAATGCCACCCCCCCCCGCTCCATTACGTGCTGGAATCCAAGTAAAAGCCTGGGCACAGAGGTCCCAGCCCCGGGTCCCGCCACGCGCTTTTAAGAAGCGGGCAGCCAGGGCGGCTGCAGAGAGGGGGAAGGGAGACTAGGGGAAGACCGGTCACAGGGACAGCGTCTGGTGGAAAGTTAACCCTGGACGAGCACGCCCTACCTGGAGTAACAGGTTTGGAATGCGTTGTGGCAACCAAGGAGAACGGTGGGCGACCAAGTTGGGGTTGGGAGGGCCCCTACCGGGGAAAAATTTGAAGTCTTCCCTTTAAAAGGGAGAGACTAAAGGACAACTGGGAGTTGTCACTATAGCGTGCCAGATAGGAGACCCCACTAGAGAGGAAGAGGCTATAGTAGTTGTTGCTGCAGACGACCCAACCACCGCCTGCAAGAAGAGAAAAACGCCCCCGCTGGAGAATTGAAGCATCTGTCGGCTGCTCCAGAGCACAGGGACCGAGGCCTCCCACGGGTGTAACTGGAGGCCGCACGTGGGGGCTCCGCTGACTTTATTAGGTCGGTGGAGACACACCCGACCACTTGGAGGCGTGCGCTCCGGGGTTGCAGCTCTAGGTCTCGGTGTAGGCACCAGGCGGGTGACCCGAGAGGATGCGACACCCGGTGCGTGAGACTGAGAAACTCCCCCGCTGTGGGGAAGGATTTTTCCAGCAGATGTTGGAACGGTACTGTGCGTCTATGAGGCAGGCGGGATGGGGCTTTGGAGGGTCCTGGGGCTTGCAGGGTTGTGTGGCACCAGCACAGGCTGGGCAGTGAGATGTGTCAAATGCAGCAGATTCTCGCAGTCCAGAGAAGGAGACGCACAAGATAACTGAAGACAGCTACTGAACAGGGGCGGGAACCAGTTGGATTAAAGCATTGGGGAAGTGTGGTGAGGCTTTGAAGAAAGGTGATCATCCCAGGGGATTGTGCCCTCAGGGAAAACCAGGCCTATTGAATTAGGTAATAGGCAACCCGCCTGTTTGGACCTGGGCGCCTCTGTGTCTGACCTGAGACTTGAAAGCGCCTAACTTTCTGGGGACCTTGAGTTTGCTCCTCCATCAGGGTTCAAATGATTTCCACAGCTTTTTGGTAAAGAGGAGTGGTCTTCCTGCACCGGTTCAGCTTTGATGGAGCAGACACTTTAGTTTCTCTGATAGGCGAGGAGCGACAGAATTCCACTGGCAGGACAGCGGTGGAACAGCCAGAGAAGAGAGAACAGTGGTGAAAGAAAAGTGAAGGGCACTGACATGGAACCTGATATCTGGACCCATGCTCAAAAGAATTCCAACCTTTGATCAATGTCTATGCCAGAGACTTCAAATCTTTTGAAGATAGGTACCACTATTTTATGCCAAACAAACATTAGGCACTCAATAAGTGTTGAATTAAGATTACATTTGGATGGCTGCAATGCAGAGGGAGGGGGGAAAATACTTTCGTCTGCAGCTCTGATATATGGATATTTTGTTCTTTCTCTCATAGAAAGACTCAGACCCTACACTGCCAGTGAACAAGGAGGCTCAGGTGTGCCCTGTGAAAGAGAACTCCACATAGTACCAATGGATATAAGGGCAATTACAAAGAAATTATCCACTTTGTATTATACTAACCAGACCAGACTGCAGATTTTCTTTATTTTGCATTTAGTTTGTGAATACTTACTTGTAAACTGATTAGATTATAAGAACCTGAACTCCCTACCTTGGTGGGTAGATAAGTTCATTCTAATTTAAAAAGCTAAAAGTCACATATTCTAATATCTCAATTGATATTTAAGGAAACCCATTTAGGACAAAATCACTGATAGTTCATCCAGCATTGAATCCTTTCACTGACTAGGAACAATGCCTTATTGCTTCTCTCCTCCATTTTTTTTTTTTTGGGGGGGTGGGCGTGGAGGGAGGATACAGCTATAAGCATAAATATATTTAATAAAAGTACAATATGGGGGGGCTGGGGTTGTGGCTCAGTAGTGGAGCGCTTGCCTCGCACATGTGAGGTGCTGGACTTGATCCTCAGCACCATATAAAAATAAATAAACAAAATAAAGATATTGTGTCCATCTATAACTAAAAATATTTTTTAAATACAATATGTCAATCCCCATCACTGCAAATAATAATAACATTTTCAACCTATGGACACAATTTCAATATGTCAGCTCTCATTTTGAAATTATTTTAATATTATTCTACAGCCAAACTACCTAGATTCAAAACCCTGACTTTACTGCTTCATAGCTGAGTGACCTTGGGTAGTAAGTTCATTATTCTTTTAGTGCATCAGTGTTCTCATATTTAAAATCTGTTAAAAAATAGTTTTTCCCTAATAGAGTTGCTAGAGATTAGTTTATCTTTTCAACTATATGCCTAGCAACTATGCTGAAGACTAAGAATTTTTAAAATGAGGATGCCTCTCTTTTAAGCAGCACACAGTGTGCCAGGAGATAGATATTTAAATAACTCAGATAAATATGCCAAATCCTAATAAAGATATATGAATAATGAGTAGGGATGTAGTTCAGTTGGTAAAACGCTTGCCTAGTTTTTGCAAGGCTCTGGATTTGCTCCCCAGCATTATTTAAAAAATAAAAATGAGTGATGGAATTTTAAACTACAGTAAAGGAGCTACTAACTCAACTCTGCTTGTCAGAATAGAAAAGATTTAACCAGGAGAGAAAGCAAAGAGGAAATTCCAGGCATGGGAATAGAATGAGCAAAGATTCTGGGTGAGGACGCCATAGGAAGGGTAAAACTTCTGGCATTGCTAGAGTTTAGGAACCTTAGAGGAACAAGAGTAATAGCATGAACATAGCACTTCAAATACATTAGTAACTCTTAGCTTTGTAACATCAGTCTAGTTGGCCTTGCTTCATCCCCCACCCCCACCCCCGTTTTTTCCATTGTAAATTAGGGTAGTGAGTTCTGATGGAGGATGTCACCATTCTCTGTCCTGCCCTCTGCCTCTAGGAGCCTGAACTCAAAGGGCTTTCATTCCTTTTACCTTCCAGTTGAGTTCAGGCAATGTGGAGCAACAGCAGAACAAGAGAGGAAGGTTTGAGTATTTTTTCCTGCAGGCTCTCTTACCATGGCACCTCTGCAGGCTGGCTCCACTTGTTAACTAAAGGTCACTTACTTCCCCACAATGACCTAGAGTAGCCCCTCTCTGGTTTCATTACATTTTACCACCTTTGCAAATAGTGTATTTGTTGAACTCTGCCCAAATTTTCCAGTAGGAATGTGCCATCCCATTTCTCCAGGGACCTTACCAGATATAGTCCTTCATTAACTTCACAGAGTTTGCTGAGAAAACATGGTGATGGTATTATTAAAATGACGTATAACTTATTGTCCAAACTTAAAAACTTTTGAGATTGAAAATGGGATTTGGTGTTATTGGTAACTACACTAGGACAGTAGACAAAAACAGGTCTCATGGTCACCTCTGCTTTTGACATGTGGTAGAATTTCTCAAGGCAAGAGTGCTAATTTGTCTTTTGACTTCTAGCACATGGCCAATATTCAGTACATGTTGAACATTCAACAAATATTCACATATTCAATAAAGGTTGAGTTACATTTGAATGGAGATGACTGGGAACTAAGGCTATGGACCTTTATTGCCATGATAAGGATTTTTGTACTTGGGTTTGGCATGGGAGGCTAAGGCAGAAGGATCAAAGTTCAGAAGGTTAGCTGTTACCATTACCAGAACAATCACCTTCCATCTCTCGTGCCTGGTATTCTTTCCTCCAGCTCCTGCAACATCACTTTGAGTTTCCTTTAGAGAAATTTCTGATTTTTAATTTGAATGAATGAGACATGGGTCCAAAATGAATGGCACCGATTCTTCTTAAGTGACTATTGTCTCTGGCTCTCAGATCCAGAGATGTACCATTTTTTTTTTTTTTTACTATTTGTTCCATTTAGAAGGTTGTACTGTATTTGTATGCTTTTTCCCCCCTCTTCAATTAAATCAAGAACTTAAATAGTAAAAAAGAAAAAGAAGAAGGATCACAGTTCAAAGCTAGCCTCAGCAATTTAGTGAGGACCTAAGAAACTTAGTGAGACCCTGTCTCTAAATAAAATATTTTTTAAAGGGCTGGGAATGTGGCACAGTAGTTAAGTACCCCTGGGTTTAATCTCTGGTACCAAAAAAATAGTATTTGATCCCATGAACAGTGAAGATACAGAGTCTTTAAGCATACAAATAACATCAAATTTTCATTTTATGAAATATATATAGTGCATATTTGACATTGTTAGTAATGTAAGATTGATTTCCCTTTTTACTAGAGCCCCAATTTCCTTGGAGAGATTTTTCAATAATTTTTCCATAATGTTTTTTTCCATAATTTTTTTTTTTGTGGATCCTTTTGTTGGGGGGGGGGAGGGGTACTAGGGATTGAACCCAGGCACTTAAATACTGAGCCACATCCCTAGCCATTTTTTAATTCTTTAATTCTGAGACAGGCTCTTACTAAGTTGCTTAGGGCTTCACTAAGTTTCTGAGGCTGTCCTTGAAATTGTGGTGCTCCTGAATCAGCCTCCCAAACCACTGAGACTATAGGTTGTGCCACTATACCTGGCTCCATAGTGTACTCTTTATGATTATTTTTTTAAGTTATCTAAGGGTTGTTTCTGTGGTTTACAATAAAAAATAAAAAAACATGTAGCTCAGTGATAGAGTGTTTTCCTATCATGCATCAGGCTCTGGGTTCAATCCCCAGTACTG